ACGTAACTTAATATTTGATATATTAGTAATAATATCATTGTTAATTCTAATGTTTTCAAATTTAACAGAAACTTTGTATTAATTTAAGATGCTGTTGATTATAGCTTTGGGTTTGATTAGAGTTTATTACATCTTTTATTAATATTTTCATTAATTTGTTGTCTAATCTCTTTGATGTTATATGTATAATATAGTAGTTATTAGAATAGACAAATATTTTTATTTTTTTTCTTTTTTTCATCATTTTTTATACTTCTTTTCTTTTTTATTTGTATATTTTATCATATTTTTCTATATCTTTGTATTTTATTTTTAGTATTTTTCTTTTATATTTTTTGTATTGCTTCTTGATGAATGTGTAATTGCTAGCCAATAATCTGAAGAAAAAAAGTTCTTAGTAAATTAAAAATTCAAAAAGAAAGTGCTACTAAGATAGGTCATATTTGGCAAATTACAGATAATTTACCTAATGGGCTGGGTAAGTTTTTGTTATGTTGTAAATTTAGTAATAGCTACAGTACCAGACAGCAAGAAATATCCAATATTTTTTAAAAAGTGCCAAATTTGAAGATTAAATAATCAATTATGATTGGTCATTTTTTATATAATGAATTTTGATTGGTTAATAAATTATATAGATAATTTTTTTTATATAATAAACGCCAAATTTTTAAATGAATATAAAATTTAGAGTATTATAATTCAAGAATAAACTAGTTTAGCAATAATTCCTCTTACAGATTTGTTGCATTTTATTCAAACTACAATTTTATTAGAATAAATTTTTACTTGGTTTATAATTTTAAAAAGTTATAACACTTATTATATTTTATGAATAAAAATTGGATGTTTCTTGCTGTTCGGTACTGTACTAATTAAACCTTTAGGTTTTGAACTAGTTCTAGAATTCCAAATAAACAAAGCAAAATCTAGAATTTCAAATAAACAAGGCAAAATAGCTAAATTATAAAAAAAAAATTTAGAAATATACCAAGAGTTATTAATAACTCTTTTCTATTTTATAATAATCTTTAATTTTTATTAAAATTTAAGATTAAGATGCAGTTTAATACTAAGATAGAGATTTGATATAATAATTCAAATTTTAGATTACACAGTTTTTTAGAGTTTTAAATATTATTACTTAATACATCTACCCTCTGTTTTTTAGTTAATTTATTGAGCTATAGCACCCCAAATATCAATAACCCCAGTATACATTATAGGGTTTCTATCATTCTCCTGACAACACTTTTCGACAAAAAAATCCCAACAAAAATTACCGGAAATTAAACTAACATAAACCTAATGCGGGCTAACTTGTCGGGAATTTGACATTGTCGGGAAAGTGGTTGTCGGGAAAATGATAGGATCCGTAAATTAAATTATATTTTTTACAACTTTGTATTGTATAATAAAAAATTTTTATTTAAATGGGTCTTTGCCTTGAAAATCACCTTATGACATTTTCCGATCAGGTTAATTCGAATAAAAACAGACCGAACCACTGGTTTGCATTTATATGTAAATCTCATTTGATCTTTATTGATTCAATAGATTGATCAATAAACTATTGAATCAATAAAGGTCAAATGCGATTTACATATAAATACAAACCGGTGTTCGAGTCTGTTTTTGTCCAAATTAGCCCGAGCGAAAAATGTTACATAAGGTGATTTTCAAGGCAAAAGCACCAAATATTAAAATTTTAAAAGTAAATCAAAGTAATAACAAATATACATTGTATTGGCCTACTAAGCTCTATAGTTTAAAAATTTGTAGTTTAAAAAATAATATCCACACATACTTTTATTAATAAAACTAATTCTAGTTTCAACCTAATTTTAAATCTAATTTAAACAAAAAGACTACAAAAAAGGTTCTAAAACAATTTAAATTTTTATAAAATTTTAGCGTCAACAGGATTTAGCTTTATCTATCGCAATTATAATCTCATTCTTTATCTTTATAAAAACGATTCTATAATTTAATTGTAATAGAATGTACCAAAAAGATTTACTCTTTATTAAATAATTATTAAATTATATTGCTAAAAGATTATTTGACACTTTATTTTTAGAAAATACATCAAATATAAAAAAAAAAGACTTTTTTAACAAGAATTTATAAATTATGGATCAAATACGGGACCCTATTAATAAAATCGATTAATATTCAATTGGTTTATAGTAGGGGTCCTCATTAATATTTGATCCAAATTAACAGTATTTTATATTTTTTTTAATAAATCTAATTTTGTCCATTGTTTTTATTTCGTAACTTGTGTTTTATTATTACAGTTATATGAAAAGTATAAAAAAGTTATTTATGGAATGACACACTAAGCTTAATTAATGTAATAATAAAAAAAACAAAACATAAAGCCGATGGATGGTAATATATCTGCAGTGTATTGCAAAATGCCTACGTATAAATGAAACTTTGTTGAATAGGACTCGGTAAGATTCAACTAATAAAAAAAAAGTTTATCCCAAAATAAAAAAATCTTTATTTTTATTCGTATTTTACCACTTTGGTACAACCAATCGATGGAAACAAAGCTTAAACATTTTTGGTTTATACATTAATATTTTAATGGTTAATTTTCTTTTTTAAATTACGGATTTACTACAATGAATATCGTTAAAGTAAAATTTGGTTTGATTTTTTTTTTCTACGCGCAATTTCATTTCGAATCGACCTGGCATATTAAGTCGCGAAACCGTATCATCAAATATGGTAAGGTAGAATTAATTCATAATCTGGTGAGTATCTCTGATCTCGGAAATAGTTTTATCCCATTTGTGATAAAATGATACTCTAACGTTAATTCTTATATAGATGTTAATTAGATATTTGATACACATTATAAAGAACATATATGTTATCAGGAGAAACCTATAAAAATCATATAAAGAAAATCATATAAAGAAATCGTGTTTATGTTGCATTTTTAATATTGTTACTATGCAAAGTAAGCCCTTATTACCACAATTTTGATTATGAATTAAGATAACTTTTGTCTAATGTTTATTATAACGCGCAGAAACATGCATAATCTAAAATGAAAAAACTTGAGATTATCCAGAAAAGTTTCAAGTTTTTTTTGAGATTATTCATGACCTCTATGAGTTAGTTTCTATAATCTCCAAGTTTCAATAAAACGTTCAGGTTTCTAGGATTCGTACGTACGTACGTACGTACGTACAGTATACATAGAATACTTTTCCGATTAAGGTTGTCACGTGGACATATGTTTTTTAGAGGCTAACTAAAGGGGATTATAATATCTAATAGATATCTAATATTAAATATTGTCTAAAAAGAGATTAAAATGGTATACATTGAGAATTAAGCTGATCGTGAGACTATCATTTATTAGCATTAATTAAAGATTTTCATTTCATCATCCTGATTTTACGTCTATAAATGACATTTAATTAGTTATTAGCTTGGTTAGACTAAGTATTTACATAGAAAATTACTACATATATATACATATAGATATATTTGTGTTAAGATTCAGATTTAGTTAGGATTGTATTAAAGTTAATACGTAATACTTGTTGAACGAAATAATTAAATGACCGTGTTTAAAAATTATCGAATAGGATGTGCCTACGTAAAAAGTCAAGTTTTTCGTCATAACTCAAAAAAAAGTTGGTTACTTGTTTAATTATAGATTTGATTATGGATTTGATTATAAATTTTAGTTATAACAATTCTACATATGTAGGCGAGTCATGTTTTACATATTAAATTCCATAAATTAAGATGACAAATCGGCAAATTAAAAGAAGACAAATCAGACAAATCAAACAAATCGGCAAATTAAGTAAATGGTTTTCACGATCGATCGATATCGATATTGTCTTTGATTAATTACCAGATCAAGTCTATTTAAGAAAAAATAATCAAAATTATCACCATTTTTTAAACGAACCAATCATTTAAGCATTTGTTTTAAAACTTTTTTATTTATTTATTTTTTTATAGCGTCGAAGAAAACCCTTTTTTTTTTTTTTTTTTGTCAAACGCGTACATCGATCGGCAAAAAAAAAAAAAAAAGAATTGGATTTTTTCTAAGCTAATTTTCTTTAGTAAAAAAATTATAATGTATAAAAAAAAGCTTATAATAAAAAATTGTAACAATAATCATTTTTGTTTACAAATGAGAAAAGAAAAAAAGTATAGCATAAGAAAAAAATTAGTAAGTTTTTTTTTTTTTTTTTTTTTTTTTTTGTTAATTATTAGAGTGAGGTAATTTAGTAAAGGGAAGCGAGGGAAAGAAATAATACGGAAAATATTAAACACTACTAAAAAATTTGTATTTTAAAATATGAATAATTACGTCGAATTAAAGTTTGTGTTTGTGTGACCTACGATGAGTAGGTTTCTTGGAAAGAGATTAGATTTTTAGAAATGAAAAAAAAAAATGTACAAGAAAAATCCCATTTCATTCGAAACCGGTCGAAAAAAATGAAAGTTGTTGGTCATCAACGAATAATTTGAATATTTGTGAAACGACCATTTAGAAAAAAATTATAAAATCGAGTTACTAAAAAAAAAAATATCAAGAAAAAAATACACACCAACCACACCCAACCTAAACTAAACACGAAAACGCCAAAAAAAACAAAAAAACATATAAAGAAAAAAAAAAACCAAAAAGAAAAAAAAAACAACCAGAATTGCCTCTATTTACAAAATATTACAGAAAAAAAAATTATTGATCAAAAATGTAATCGTATATGTAAGTTTTAAATTTTTTTTCTTTCTTAATTCACCATTAGTTTAAGATCATGGATCACAAATGAATCTTTTTTCTTTTTTCAACCTTGAAACAAACACATTCATCGATAAGAGAAAATTCAGATATCGCCGCTAACAACTGATTCATTCGAAGGTGGATAGCGGCACATGATGACGAGGAGCGGTTAATATGGGAGCAGGTAATCTCGTAAAAGATTCATAATTATTATTTGTTGTATGATGATATAATGGATGCGCAAATGATTGCGCAAATGTGGGAAGTCGCTCAGTACCACCAATTGAAGGCTGTTGAGAGTATGCCGGTGAATTATTTACTTGGGGTTGGCAAATTGGCGGCAACGATGGAGCCATTGACGAAGGTGGTGGTAATGGAGGTGAAGGGGATCTGATACTCGCGGCACCGGAATTTGAAGATCCCGTCATATGTCCATTAGATCGATAATAATCTCCAGTTTGATTTTGTGGGGATGGATGTGATGAGTTATTATAATTGTTCGCGTTTTCATTATTATTATTATTATTATTAATTTGTGATTTTGATGAAAAATAATCACGATATTGAGTCTACATAGGTGAATCTGGTATCGATCGTCGTTCTTGTTCATCTTCATCAATGTCAGAGGAAGAACCCGAATTACTTGATCTTCTAGAATTTGTTGATTTTTTTACCATATCATTTTCAACTTGACCATCTTCATCTTTAATTGATGAACTTGAAGTGGCGCGTGTTTTACTGCGCCAGCTTTGACGCTTATTTTGGAACCAAATTTGTACGGTTCTCGGCGCCATACCCAATTCTTTACCCAATTGAATACGTAATTCAGTAGAAGGGAAAAATGTTCTGGCAAATACATCATTAAGAACTTTAAGTTGATTGGCATTAGCTCTCTTACGTTTAGCTTTTACCATAGTACTTGAAGGGTTGGAATGATCAATATAAGGAGAACCAAGATGATGATGATGGTGAATCTGTTGATAATGAGAATTTGGAATCATATTATTAGGTGAATGAGCACCAAAGGATGGAGGACTATGAACAGAATAAGCTGAAGCAGATGAAGTTCTATCAGCATAAGGTGAATAATGAGTATTAGGGGAATGGTTAAGGTATGAATGATCATGAACATGACCCAAACCACGTGAAGAAGTGAAACCCGATAAATCCGAGTGACGCCTCTGATCAACAGAAGGTAATAAACGTTGATGAGTATATTGATGAGAAGTTGAAGGATATGGGTTGTAACGAGTTTGAACCACATCAAAAGAAGATCGTCTCACTAAATGGTGAGAGAGATGTGATGACATATTGTGAGAATTATGAGAACTATGAGAACTTGGATTATTTACAGATTCAGATTGATGAAATTGCTGCTGTCGATGATGAAAATGAGGTTTTATTGAAGAATCAGAAGAAGAAGAACGATAAGTTTCTGAAGTAAAGGCAGCAAATTGTTCAAGATGTTGATTATGATTCCAAGAAGACTTTCGGGAATCCAGATTCCCATTTTCACAATTTGTAATATGAGGTAAGTCGGAGTTACCATTAATATCAGATCTCAGATTAGGAGATGAAGCGAAAGTTTTAATTGAAGGTAGTACAGGTCTAACAATTGGAGCATCCTGATTACCGTGCTGATTACCGTGAGGACGTTTATTCCAAGCCTGATCTAATCTCTCCGAAGTAGAGAAACCAACATCATTATGATTATTATGACTATTATGATATTTAAGATCACATCTCATATTATCATGAGGTAAATTAACGATTGAAGGTTTTTCATCTTTTTCTACGACAGGAGGAGAGAGAGGAGGAGAGGTATCAGGAGTTGATACAACGCGAACATTGTGACAAGAACGTGGAGAATCCAAGGATTCAGTATCACCAAGTTGACTTGTTGTTGACAAGTCATCCATGCTACTATCCCCATCGATAGAAGAATCGTAAGCCGGAGATGGAGAAGAAGGTAAGTCGCATAATAAACTAGAGATATCTAATACGGAGGATTTTCTTCGTGGTAACGAAGGTAATGAAGAATTAAGAGAGGGTCGTGTGGTGTTACTGCTATAGTTGATTCCGTCGATCACCTCATTAGACTCTTCTTTATTCGTTAACATTATCCTGTTACCATTACATTCCGATTTGGCATTATGCCGCCGCAGAGAATCGTGTGTCATAACAAAAGGACGCACCGATACATTCTTGGAGTTAATCATATCTTCCATGGATATCGAAGGGGTAATGTCATCAATGATGCTAGTTTCACTATGAAGGTGTACGGGCATCTTCGTCGACTTATTCGATGCTAGTACCATGGAACGATTTGTTTTAAAAAAAAAAAGAGGATGATATAATTATATATATATTATATATATATATATATTATATATTTATATATATAAAGAATATCCAACAAATTGGGAAGTTGGCGATTTCACGAGAATGAAAGAACCGACGAATGAATAAAAAAAAAAAAAAAATTATATTCTTTTACGGAAATAAAAATTTTTTTTTTTGTAATTTTTTTTTTTTTCGAGCGAAAACGTAAAAAAAAAAAAGAATGGACGGTGTTTCGCGATAATATTTTTTTTTTTTTTTTTTTTTTTTTTTTGTTAATTATATAAAAAAAAAAAAATGAAATGAAGTAACCCAAGAGTTGGACGTTTTAGACCAAAAATATTTTTTTGGAGTTATAAGGATGGAGAGATTTGAAAAGGAGCACTAGCGTATTTATATAGAACCATGAACGGGAGAGATCTATTCTATCGGCGAATAACAAATGATAGTAGTAATTTTATAATTTAATTGACAATCTAATAAAATTGTGTGTAACCAAGTACCTTTAAGTGTAATTGTATATAAATAAAAAATACAGTATAAAAAGTGTAGTAGAGTGTGATATAAAAAAAAAATATACATTAGTTAATTTATATTGTAACACGTGCTTCATATAAAATACACTCATGCAGATTTCGACATTAATTTTTTTTTAGGGGACGAAAAAAGTGACATCAAAAAAGGGGTGCTTGATAATTGCAGGGGTGCATTCATCATCACCATAGGGATCAGGAAATATAATAGGACTGACTGTGCCGAATATTCAACAGAAATATATTTTGCAGAAATGTAACGTGAACGGTTGAAAAGGCGGAATAATTACAGAAATTTGTAAAAAAAAGGGGTCGGAAATAGAGGAGGAAAAAATAAAGAAAAAAGTCGGGAAAGCGGGGGATCAGAAGAAAAAAACTTTTCTCAGATACCTCAGATACTTCTAATACTTGTGATACCTCTGATACTTCTGATACCTCAGACGGAATATCAAGACTTTGAAGAAGGAAGAGAGAATTTTGTTTGAATTTAAATGATTTAAAGAATTAATATTATAAAATATTATAAAATATTATCACGAAAGAAATATAGTGAATTAAATACCATGAATTAATACGTATCAAATGTATGTACAGAGAATAACAATTTTAGAAAAAATTTCAAAGTAATAAATAGGAGGTATTAATAGGAGCAGACAAGTAATGCGATAAATCAAGTAGTAAATCAGAACATATAAAGTAAATGATGCAGAAGTGATGCATAAGGACTAAAAGAAATAACAGATACGTAATAAAAACAACTTAAATGAGAATTATTAGAAAACGAGAAATAAACATTGATGAAATTAAATCTAATACACCGCATAATATTACAATGAATGAATGATGGTGATGAATGATGATTAAACTGATGCATTGAAATAAAACCTAATTAAATCGCGTGAATTATGTGAATTATCGGAATTATCGTGCGAAATCGATAGTTGCATTACGTGATCATTAATAGGATCACTAGTATTAATAGTTAAAGACTATATTAACATATGAGCGAGATAACAAGGTAACAAGGTAACAAGATAACAAGGTGACAAGGTGACAAGGGACGAGGAAATCAGTAATTTATTGTAATTAATTCGCAATGGGTGTGAATATTTATTTTCCACGAATGTTTATTTTTTTCCTCGAGACAGGAAAGATCTTCAAAAAGAGACTTTATCAATTTGATCAAAAAAAAGGTCGAGGAGACCGGGAAAATTAATTTTATTAAAAATTAACGCCACAAACATTATAAGGAGTGGTCTTACGTTTATAATATCTCAATGATTCAATAGATTCAATAGATTCAATAGATTAATAGATTCAATATAACAAACACTCAATAATGTTAAAATGTTAAATAATTCAAGTGATTTCAAATGATTTCAGATGATTTCAATAAATCAAGTATTTTAAAGATTTCAAACTTACTTTAAAGATTTCAAAAATACTTTAAACATCATTTCAAAAATTTATATATATAATATTATATGTAATATTATAATATTTCAGATTCAATAAAAATAATATAATCAGTAATATAATCAATACAATATAATATAATCAATAATATAATCAATACAATAATATAATCAATAATATAATCAATACAATAATATAATCAATACAGTGATATAATAAAAAACTCAATAGTACCAATAATACAGTAATCACATAGTATCTTAAGGTAGCATTATTTTTGATAATTGCATAAAATTAAAATGATTATAAAATGATCTAACACCTGTTGCGAGGAGGAATTAAATGGTTAATACAGGATTTTAAACTCTTAAGCCGAATATAAATAAAATTAATAATCATAAAAAAAAGTGGTGAAACACCAACGTCCGATTATATTTTTTGACATGTAAATAAAAACCGGATCTATAATTTAAGTTATTTAACGATGATAACATTAGTTTACCGCTGTGTCACCCTGTTTCATTAATCCTCCCACGGATTCCGATTACTCAGAGGGTATTAATATTTGCCCGCCCATATAAAGTTTTACCAAATCAGCCAAAAAAGATTTACGTTTTGTTGTTTATATTCAGAAACGTGCCCTTTTGCTCAACAAACTTTGTTCGAGATTTTTATAAAGTTAAATGATTTTTTTATTAAAAAATTGAATGAACATTTATATAAATCTATATAATCTAAATAATTTATATAATCTATATAATTTATATAATATATAACAATAATCTATGAAATCTTTCTTTCTTTTATTTACTTATCTATCTACTGTATCTACTGTATCTACTGTATCTATCGATCTATCTATCTATATTACTGATTAAAGGATGCTTCTTAACATCTCTTCTTATCGCCTAAATATCATCACATTAATTAATAATTGATACATTATATAGATATATATATAGTTAAAAATAATATATTTATATATATATCTTTTAACTAATCAATCGTTAATGATCATACTAATTGATCGGAGTCGATAAAAAAACTGAAACATACATCATTACTATTAATCAAAAGGTAGGTTTAAAATGAGAGTTAAAAATGTTTAATAATGTTTAAAAATTTTTAAAAATTTTAAATTGCTTAAAATAGTCATTAAGAGTTATTAGATTTAATCCTCCTCTTTAAACCCCTTTCATCAGAGATCCCTTTAATTATTAACGATTAACGGTCGGATGATTACCCGTGACATGATCGCGAAAAATTTCGAAATGAATGAATATTATCATTCATTCACATTAGTTTAATATTAATCTTAGTTTAATACTTAATACTTGATTAATTGATCTTTATCACCATCATCCATTAGCACTCCAATAGTACTTACTTCATTTACAGTTCTGTGAAACCTGTTTTGCCATGCTATAAAATTCAATCAGATCAGTTATATTTCCCATGTATAATGGATTTGGCAGTTGATTTGAATCGGGCTAATTTTTATTATGAAATTATGCTAATTTTAATATGAATTTGTAATTTCACTTAATTAAATAATCCTTGGAATCCTTTTGAGAATCCTTTTGGGAATACTTTGGGAAATGCTTTGGGAACATTTGGAACATTTTTGGAATAAATTGGAAATACTTTGGGAATACTTTGAGAATACTTTGGATACTTTAGAAGAATTTGAATACTTTGGGATAGTGGTGGGAAAGACTTTACGAACGATTGTATATATTAATAGTATGTATCGATAGTATGTATCGATAGTATGTATTGATAGTATGTGTATCGATAGTATGTATATAGTGCATATAGTACTATAGTACGTATACTGCATATAATTCTAGTAAGTATAATGCATATAATGCATATAGTACTATGCCAAGTGTGGATTATAGTAGTATAACACGTATACGTACGTAATATGATTACCTCACATAACATAACTCTTCCCTCGGCGTTGGGAATTCTCAAGAACATTCTTGAGTTAGGCTCCACATCATAGTAATGACTAATATATATTAAATAATGGATGTGTGATACGTAGTATGTAGTATGTATAGCAAGTGATAATATATACTTAATGATATACTTAATGGTAATTAATAGAATGAATAGAATTAATAGTAATTATTATAATGGCAATTAATGATAATTAATGGTAACGGTAATTAATGGTATATAATTAACGTTAATAGTAATTAATGTTCCTTTTATCACAATTTTCTTCACGTTACACTTACTCACTTTCTTTTCACATTCTATTCATGTTACACTAGCTTCGATAATATTATTCCTGGATGATGGTTCAAGAAAAATCATGTTCTTTCCTTCAAGGTCCCTGGTAATAGAATATTTGCATATCATGGACTTCCGTTTTCGTAATTATTGGATATTGTTATCAATTTATGGGGTATATACTAGATTTTAATCCTGGTAATGGTAATGTTGTTGTAATGGTCATTATTCATTTAAGTGTGCTTACGTACGTGATGTCTTTTTTTTTTCTGATGAATTTGTACGTTGATCGATGGTGATACGGATAAACTACGTATCACTGTCTCAATTAGAAAATTTTGAAATTTAGGGTGAATTTTTAAAGGTACCTCAATTTCAATATTTTTTTTAATACGTAATACGTAATACGTAATATATCATTTTAATAATCCTGAAAAGAATTTATTTCTTTTAAAGATTTTCGGTAAAACATAAACTAGTATCTGGAATCTTCTGAACAACAATGATATTAACTTTTTTGTAATGAAAAATTAAATAAATTAATCGATTGAATGCCTCGATTGTTTGTAAATTTCCCGATACGGGTTGAA